CAAAAGCTATACTTGAAAATAACTGTTGACAGTGGGATGGTGCCCTTAATCCCCACGTTGTTAAAAAATCAACTATATAACTGCCTTACTTCCCAACTTACAGAACACAAAAATGCAATGCCAAATGAATCAAAGATATACATAAAATAAAACCATACAGATAACAGACAAATAAATAGAAGCATTTTTTTTAAATTGGAGGGGATATGAGGTAAATTTTGTAAACTACGATAAAAGGGCAAAAAATGTAAAAGATACATCTGACAATACGATACAAACAATGGTGACAATACAGACATTTAAAACTCCAGCAAAATGCAAAAGGAAAAAAAGCAACGCTACAAAGAAAATTCAAAGACAAACGACAAATTGCAGAAAATATTTTCAGCATATATGATCATTCAAAGGTATAAGTAAAGTGCATGAACAAGGAATGACCCCAATCACACAAAACCCACCAATAACTAATAACTGGAACAGAGATAGTCCACTAGTGATCAAGAAGCAGCAAATTAAAACAATGAAAGCCAACTGTTCACAAAAGAGACTGGCAAGGATAGAGGCTGACACAACCCAAGATGAAAAGGATAAAGGCGATCTGAGGGCATGACCCATGACGGAAAAATAATTGACACGCACATTCCACAGGGCGGTTTGACAATATGTATGTGTGTCAAAATGTAAAATATGTCCTATTTGCATTTTCCTAATGCAAAAGAAAAACAAAGCAATGCTACAAAGGAAACTAACAGATACACTTACAGACTGTGTGATCTAGCCAAGCAAACTGCTGAAACTATCTGTGCCTCTGTTTCCTCTTCTATAAAATGGGAATAACAACAGTGCCTACCTCTTAGCTGCTATGAGAGTTAAAGGAGCTATTAGCTGTGAAACACTGAGAAACAGCAACTGCAAAATAAAAAGCACTAAAAAACAGCTCGTTAAATAAAAACTTAACAAGCATTACATTATTAGTCATTTAAGATAATGGCACAAGTGCAAAAAATAATAATAATAAATCTAAAATGCATGCTCAGGACTGTTTACTTGAGTAGTGCTTTTTTATCAGAGAGAAAATTTTAAAACAATTCTAAATGCCCATCATCTAGAGACCAATGAAGTAAAATGAGGTAAGCCCATGCATGTGAAGAAATGCTGTACACCTTTAAAAATGACAACAAGCAACACTGTTTTGGGTAAGGATACACAGCACAGCAGTCAAAAGCACAGACCCTGGAGCCAGCCCACCTCGCTCACAACCAACTCCACTACTTATGGGCTGTGTGACCAAAGCAAACGGCTGAAACATCTGTGCCTTAGTTTGCTCTTCTATAAAATGGGAGTAACAATAGTGCCTACCTTGGCCAGGCACAGTGGCTCATACCTGTAATCCCAACAATTTGGGAGGCCAAGGGTGGTGGATCACCTGAGGTCAATAGTTCAAGACCAGCCTGGTCAACATGGTGAAACTCCATTTCTACTAAAAATACAAAAAATTAGCCGGGTGTGGGGGCAGATGCCTGTAATTGCAGCTACTTGGGAGGCTGAGGCAGGAGAATCACTTGAACCTGGGAGGTAGAGGTTGCAGTGGGCTGAGATTGTGCCACTGCACTCCAGCCTGGGCAACAAGAGCAAAACTCCATCTCAAAACAACAAAAAAAATTAGTGCCCACCTCTTAAGCTACCATGAGAAGTAAAATGACTATGAGTTGTAAAACATTGAGAACAGAAACTGTCACATAAAAAAAGCGCTAGAAAAGAGCTTGTTAAATAAAAAATATTGTGATGAAAAATGTATCTGCCACATTAATGAGTGAAAAAAGGTCACAGAATATTACGTATAATTTCAGTTCTGAAAAATACATATGGGTGTACACAGAATGGAGGAGGGCCTTCTCTTTTTCAGTGTAACAGTCATTGACCCCAGGCAGTGAAATTTTGGAATATTTTTACTTTCTTAGTATTTTCTGTTTCATTACAGGTATTAAAAACTAAAACAAACAAAAGTTATAATATCCAATAGGCATTCTCAGACACTCCTGGAATCTAAGTTGATGTGAGCTTTCTGGGGAGAAATCTGGCAATATTAATATACTTTCCAACCCAGCAATCTGCTTTTAGGAATTGATTCTAGAAAAATCATAACACAAATCTACAAATATGTATACATACTAACACACACACACCTATTTAGGAATAGTTATTAAAGCATTGCTTACAACAGTTAAAAACTGATAAAAACCTAAGTTTTCATCAATTGTACCCTGGTTGGTACAAACAGAATACTTTATGGCACTGACGGAGCCACATGGAAAGATGGTTCTGGTGAAGGTGTTGATCACGCAGGGAAAGACTCTGCACTCTGCTGTGATGGGGAGACACTGAGGCACTGTGTTTTACAGCAGCAGTCCCCAACCTTTTTGGCTCCAGGGACTGGTTTCACAGAAGATAATTTTTCCACAGATGGTGGGGTAGGGTGGTTGGGGATGGAACTGTTCCACCTCAGATCTCAAGCACTAGATTCTCATAAGGAGCACGCACCGTAGATCCCTTGCATGTGCAGTTTACAGCAGGGCTCATGTTCCCACGAGAAGTGAATGTCGCAGCTGATCTGACAGGAGGCAGAGCTCAGGTGGTAACGCCAGCTCACCAACCACTCACCTGCCATGCAGCCTGGTTCCTAGCAGGCCACAGACCGCTACCAGCCTGTGGCCCACGGGTTGGGGACCTCTGTTTCAGAGAGCTGACACTAAGGGCAGTGCAGACTGGGGAACGGCCATAGACCCAACTGAACTTCTGGGCCTCCAGGGTCTGTGCTGTTGACTTTGAGCCTCAAACCCAGAGCTTGACCTGAGGTCTGGAAGAATGCGAAGCAGAAAACTTTAGTGTTGCAAAAGAGCAAAGTCTCTGATTTCTAGCCATAACTGTGCAGAGTCCAGGAGTGCCTCAGAAGGAACCTGACAGGAAAAACCCTGTGAAGGTACAAACAAAAGGGATTCTCGAGAAGACAGAACCAAATGGTCAGAGAGAACTGGATTCTCTGAAGGGCTCAGGCAGTGCAGAAACTACAGACAGCAGAGCTGCCTCGATGGCTAGCACTGATGAAAACACACCACTATTACCTAGCTGTGCTGGAGCAGGGGGGCATGCATGTGTACGCGTGGGAGGCAGAGAGAGAGAGACAGAGAGAAAGGGAGAGAGAGAGAGGGAGAGAGAGAGTGTGCATGCATGCATAAGAGGGTGGGGGAAAGACTCCATAACCCAAATCCAGTGATTAACAAATCACTGGAAATCAGAGCTTCGGGTTCAGGGGAGGTCCATCCTAATCCTTCGTCTTTCAACCGTTTCATTTCTAAAATTATCTTTATTTCCCAAAAGGGCTTTAGGTTCTGAAACACGATACGGATTCTTCCGAAATGACAGCACTCCCGGGCTACAGCTCTCACACGGCAATTACTCAGGCTCCATTTAGGGACAGCTCCACCTCCTTTGATCCTCATGGGTTATTTTCATGAGCCCGTGCAGCCCCACAGGGTTTTACATCATTGCCTTGAGAGTTATTTATGAGAGGGAACAGTGTCTGGTATTTTCTACAACTTGTACAGATGTTGGCAATGAGCCTTGGCCACCAACCTAGATGTTCCATAAATATTAGTTGATGAGTTACTCAATAATTCACCCAAACTATGATAGGGTTTTGCAAACCAAGAGTCTTGCTCATTGCAGGGAGGCATTTATAGTGAAGAATTTAAGAACAGGGGTCAGAGTAGGACAGCCTGGATTCAAAGGCCAGGTCCCCTTACTAACTAAAGGACCCTAAACAAATTACTTAATCTCTCAGAGTCTAAATGCCCTTATCCATGAAGCAGGAAGGATGACAACAGTAGTGTATCCATGTGGTTATGAACGGCTCACTGTAATAGCTGGCATTCACTCGGTGCTTTTGATACGGCAGGTACTACTGGAAGCACTTTACAAGTCCTATCTCACTTAATTGTCAAAGCAACCACAGGAGACAGTACTGCTTTTATTACAATTTTACAGATGAGGAAACTGAGGCAAAATGAAGTTAATAAGTGCAGAAACTGGGATGCAAACCCAGGTAGTCATAACCCAGAGCCTATGTTCTTAATGAGAACTGCCTCCCACATAACATGGTTAGCACAATACAAAACAGAAAGAAACACAGGGTACAGTTTGAAGACTTCAAAAATGGTGCAAGGACCCAACAACAGAACCCATAGCAGAGGCCCTAACTGCTCCAGTGCAGCCTTGCTATTTCATTCCTCCAATGAAGGCCATCTGCAGACATGCTACCCCACAGCGACTTCATCCCCTGGTCACATTTATCTGCCTTTCAGCCTCTCTTAGAAGCTGCTTCAAAGCTGAAGCCTAGTCAAGAACGTATCTGAAGGAAGTACCTGATAGTCTTTATTTTCTTCAAGAATGCCCACCAAAATCTAGTCCTCAGCCAACACTGGCCCATCAAGGTCCCTCATAGGAGCCTTGAGGATCCTAATTGCTGTACTTCGGCCCACATGGCCCCATCCATCCAATAAGACAGCCCTCCTTCCTTTAATTCAATACCACCCAAACTGTGACACCAGATTCACTCCCGACTTTCCATCAGAATGCTCTCTCCTGTTGACAATTTGTTATCTATTAACATGATGCATTTAAAACCTTCTCTTCTTTCCCAGAACATAAGCTCAGCAAAGGTAGAGGCTGTGTTTTACCATCCCTGCAACTCTCAAAGCATCTAGCAAAGCAGCTCCCTGACCCGCATGCCATGGGCATCAACTCCCAGATGACACATTCACTTCAAAGATTACTTACAGTAATAGTCAGTCATCATTAAGAAAATAAGCACTTTTCCAGATGGGTGAGAGCTGAATAAATATGGGCTATTTCCAAGTAATAACTGACCCAGTGAAACCTGATATTAGCAGATACACCTCTTCATAAGAAATTGACATGTTCAGCCATTTGGCAGCATTTACCTGCTTCTCCTTCCTCCTCACCCAAATTCAGCACGATAATGCAGATGTGCTTCCGCAGCTGGCGCGTGTTGGAGAACTTCCGACAGCACTTGCTACACTCCAAGCTGCTTGGAGGCAGGCTGTTCCCATCCTCCGGAGCCAGTGGGCTGTCCTCAGTTGGACTCACGATGTTTTCTGCCAGCTCCTCTTCTGTGCTGGGCTTCTTCGTGGACCCCTTAGGCCTGCCTCTCTTCCTCTTCATGACCAAAAACTCTACAGAGGAAACAAGAGGGCACAATGGAGTCACATGAGACGGCACTGCAGGGCTCACGTTCACCCTCCAAGTGTGAGGATATGTTCAGATTTCACGTTTTATTAAAAATGAAAAATCTGAAGTGATTCCACAGCTGCAAACAATTATCTTTGGTGCTAATATCATTGCATCTGTGTACTAATGGGTAATCAATGTTCTAATGTTCTGATTCAAGAAAATCAGTTTATTGGCATCTCTGTACATCTTTCTTCAGCAATGCTGGGAGGATTTTAAGTTGCGGCTGTCAACTCCCTGTTCACAAATCCTGCCCCTTGTTAAGCACCATTTCTACTGAAATCCAGTTCTCAGAAACTGCTTAGGGACTTCTCTGCAAAGCGTTCTCGAAGGCTGCTGAGCTTGTCATGCCCTTAATGAGTTACACAACTATTCAGATTATTTCAAGGAGTCATAATTAGTAGAGTCAAATAGTCCTGGCAAGAAAAAGAAAAAATAATTACAATCTAAAGCCACAAATTATAGCACTAAAGACAATAACAATATTTTTCCAGTTTCTTAGCGACCTAGTGATTTTCAATGGCATGATCACAGCTGCTTTACAGCAAGTTTAAAATCATTTTATAACTTGTGTTTCTTCTCAATTAGTGTTAATTTTTAAGGCATTCATCTCCAGAATGAAGGTGGGAATTAAGAGGGGTGAGCAGGGCTGGGCGCAGTGGTTCACGCCTGTAATCCCAGCACTTTGGGAGGCTGAGGTGGGTGGATCACAAGGTCAGGAGATCAAGACCATCCTGGCTAACGCGGTAAAATCCCATCTCTACAAAAAATACAAAAAAAAAAAACATTAGTCGTGCGTGGTGGCAGGCACCTGTAGTCCCAGCTACTCAGGAGGCTGAGGCAGGAGAATGGCGTGAACATGAGAGGCAGAGCTTGCAGTGAGCCGAGATCATGCCACTGCACTCCAGCCTGGGCGACAGAGAAGAGGGGTAAGCGGGCACTATCTTGGGTACACGTGCATCTGTAGATATCAGGATGTCTCTCAGGTCCCTTCCTGCTCTCTCCAAAGCTGTTGCTCTACGCAGTAGGACACCAGCCACTTTATCACACTGCTACTACCATGAGGACCCATTAAGTAAGTCACTTGTGCTCACAAATCAAAGAGGGAGGCCACAGGGGCAGAAGGGAGCAGAGATGGGCAGGACAGTCTGGGGCAGAGTCTGCAGGGACACAACAGCCTGACCACAGGGAATCTAGACAAAGGAGCCTGCCTTGGTACGGGGTACCCAAGACCTCAGGGAAACCTGGCACCAGAATGAGGCAAGAGATTTCCTGGGAAAGGAGGGCTCTTGCTGGAACAGAGCTTCAACCGAACTGCAACACCACTGGTGAGTAGGTCGGCTTTGGTTGAAAGATCCAAACCAGAGCACTGCACCAGGGCAGCCAGCGAGATTCCTGCCTTCACTCTGTCTCCCTGGGGCATGGTGGGCAGGGGAGCACAAAGGAGGAGAAGGTACTTAATGATAGGAAGGCAAACCAGATAAAACAAGGGACAGAAGGCCCTGGGAGCCCTCCCTAGATTTAAACAAGGAGAACAAAGGCTGTGTTTACAGGAAAACCAGCCCGTGTGCACGGGAGAGGGAAGGAAACAAATAGAAGGTACAGAGTAAGAAGAAACCATTTCCCTTGGAGTCTTTAAAACTTTTCTCCTTATTCTTTTTCACAACACTGTGTACTTGCACAACCTACTGAAGCAGCAATTCATACCAGAGAAGCAGAATTAGCAGAGAGGCTACAAAACACCCACCTCGTGTCATGTCAGCTGAGTTCCAGAACCAGGGTGCCTAACAGTTTACTGAAGTCTGTGGCCCAGGTCTAAACCCAGTGACAGACTCTGCCATCCCGCAGACACCAGCCACTCCCCTGAAACACTCTACGAGGATGCGACTGTGTAGTGAAGAATTAACTTTACCCAAAGAGAAGTCTGGCCTTTGCCCTTGGCTACAGGAAGGTGATTTCTGGGCCCCCGGATGTCCCTCCTGATAGGAGCATCTTTGTTTACCCAAGGACTTTGGCCACCAGACAAACAATGGGATTTATGATGGGGACTTTGGAAAACAAAAGGCATCAGTCAGAACCTACAGGAGGGACAGGGACTAAAAGGCGGCATGTGGGCAGTGTGTCATGGAGTCCTAATAAAAACTCGGGATACCAAGGCTCGAGTGCACTTCCCTGATTAGAAATACTCTTGAGTGCTATCCTACATTGTAGCCAGGAGAGAGGTAACTTTGCTCAGGACTCCATGGGTAGACCAAAAGCTCCACGTCTGGGACCTTCCCAGTCTGCGACTTTACCCACACACCTCTCTCCCTTTAATTGGCTAATTTGCATCCTTTGAGTATAATCAAATTATAATAATGAGGACAGGGCTTTCCTGAGTTCTGTGAGTTATTCTAGCAAATTCTCAAAGCTGAGAGAGGCCATAGGGACTTTCCAAATCTGTAGTAGTAAAAAAGAAGTAACAGTAGTCCAGGAGACCCCCCCAAACTTGTGGCTGGGATCAGGAGTCTTGGGTGGACTTGCTCGTCTTATGGAGAACTGTGCCCTTAAGCTTCAGTTTAGCAAACTTACTGTTGCGGGGTACCCAGTGTTTTCTCCACACAGACTCAATGGAGCACACGGAGCCACAGTGCTTGCATGTGCTGGAGCACAGCACAGTGTGCAGTACAGCAGCCATCGTAGGTCTCCCCTCCCCCAGACTGGAGACTCCTCAAAGGCTGAGTCCCTGTCCGGATTACTTTGTATCCCCCTCAGCACCTAACCTGGTGCCCTGCACAGCAGGCAGCCAGCAAGCAACTCTGGGTGAATTAAACTGATGAGCAATGCACAATTAATTCCACGGCAATGAAGAAATAAAATCGGCCTGAAAGCTTTGGAAAACCTTAAACATGATGGTGACAAAACTAATCTTCCAGCTTGCGGTATCCATAATTCAGATCCTCAAGACCAATTAGCTAGCTAAAAATGAAATATTCATAAATGAACTTGAATAATTTAAGCTCTGAAAATGAGTTGCTGCTGTCAACTACTCGCATTTTATGGCAGAGTTGAAAACCTTGGAACTGGGCAAGGAAAATCATGTAACGTCTAAATCAAAACATTTCAATGGAGTTAGCTTTAATTCTTCTTCCTCCCTCTAAATTCCTTTATTTAATCTGTCACTAAACTCTATGGACTTTGCCCTAAAGATGTCTGTCTAGTAAATCCCCTCTCTGTTCACACAGCAACCTCACCACCCAGATCCCTGCACAGTTTCCACATTCCAGCTTCCTGCTCTGGGCTTTCTCTGTCTCCATCCCTCATCTGTCATTCCCTCACTCTAGAACCTTCCATTGTTCTGGATGCTTTGCCCACAACTCTCAGGCCTGGCCTTCAAGGTCCTTTAGCATGTGATCCAACCCTACACATATGCACGTGCGCATGCAAACAGGTGCGTGCACGCACACACACACGCGCGCGCGCACACACACACACACAGTGCCCCCACTTCCTTCTTCCTCCCCCTTGACTGTTCAGGGCAATTTTCTAGACTTCTCCAAATATATCTACAGAGAATTCCTGTCTCTTTTCAGTTACTTGTACTATTCTACCCAACTGTGACCACCTCCTTCACTACAAATCAGACACCAAGCCCCAGTTCAAATCCTAACATGTCCGGTCCAATTAAGACCTCAGTCCCTCCTCCATGAGGTGTCCCCAGCTAAGTGAGCAGGATGACTATCCCCACAGTTTGATTCGAATCACAGTGTGAGCCACACACACGTAGGGTGTGTATGTGCCTGGACCACTCCCTGATTGTTCCTATTTTTCCCCACCTTTTATGAAAAACCCTGAGGTCTGAGCTGGCCTTTTAATTCCTGGGTCCCACAGGGTCTTGAACAGAGCTGGATGTGGAGTAGATACAAGTAATAAGAACACACTGATCCACTGTTTGATGATAGGAAAAGAAACATCTGGAAAAGAAGCCATTTCCTGCATCCCCAGTTTCCAACAGGAAGAAAGGGCTAAGCCACAGTGCCTCTTAACCCTGCTCTAAATCCACGGTTTGGGGACAACTTCTTCTTAGTCAGAAAATCATCCTTGCAGATCCAAGGCCAAAAACTGGCAAGGGGCACAGAATCAGCCAAAGGATTTCTTCTAACTCAATCAAAACACAACATGAACATTATGAAAAAAATAGCCCAACATTATCAAAAATTTAATAATGTAAGCCCTTTATGTGTGCATCACTCAAGTTTGCAAGGCACTTTCCCAGCTATTATCTCATTTTAGCCTTATAAAAACCTTAAGAGATGGATGTAGCAAACATAATGTCCTCAATAGGAAAAGAAACAAGGGATGCAATGGTTCAAGTGGCTTGGCACATTTTCCAGAACCAGCTGCTGAGAACACAGAACTGGAATTTGGGTTTCCTTATTCCCAGACAAAAACGTTTCTGCAGAATCATATACCCCTGAAGCATGGGTAAGAAAAGGTCAGCTCTAGATACTTTAATAGAGACAATCTGTGCTATGCAGAGAATGCTGGCTTGGAGCTGGACTGACCTGGGTTCAAATCTCCCCTGAACCTCTGTTTCCAATGTGAAAAATAAACACAAAACTGCCTCTATTTTATAGAGTCACTACCGATAAAAGCAATCCATTACGATGCTGAGCACAGAACTCAGGAGGTGATTGATAAATGGCAACTGTTTAACATTACGGCCATAGTCATTAAGATTCTGACTTAGAATATCTCTTTTAAGAAACTATTATCCTCCCACCTGGTCCACAGATAGATAATATGATTGCCTGATGTACATGCATTCTCATTTATTCTGACTCAATATGCATTTTTTCCTTGAGTTCTTCATTTTAAAATAGCTCTTACACCAGGAAATCCAATACAGAATTAAAGACACACAAATTTTATTATGCCTGAAACCCTGGATAAGGCCAGCTTCCCA